CCACTGTATGTACTCAAAACCTCATAGTTGGGAACAATCATGGAAAACTAGACAAACAGATTTAACAGAAGCAGTGAAACAACTATAACATATATTTTTTCTATTTGATTATTTATTGAATAACATTCATTTTGTTTATTTATTTATTTATTTATTTATTTTTGCTTCTGCTCTCGGAGGAGTAAGACGCCTTTCCCCTCTCCCCAGCCTTCCCTCATCTTCCCTGCTTGGAGCCTCCTTTACATTTTCATCTGAAACCAGAAATTATGGATATTTTTATGGGTTTTCCATGGGAGGACATGCCAAAGGTGGGAACTCTGTTCTGCTCTGTTCAACTAGCTGGATATATATTTGGATTCTGATCACTGGATTCTACAGATTGGCTTGGTGGTCTCCTGGTGTTCTACAAAACAGTGTCGGTGCCTATTCAGGCCATTTCCTGGCTGCCTGACCGATATGAAGGATTGCCGTTCTATCAGCACTCAGATTCAAGCTCTGGGCGAGCTGAAACTCGGTCTGCAAGCGGTTCTGCTGAGGCTCGCTGGCCAGCTGCAGTCCCTGAACTTTGCTGGCCAGATGGAATTGATCTTGGAGAAGCTGTGAGCTCGGTTCGGCGGAACTGTGTACACTATTTGTCTGAYTGGATTCGCCACATTGAGATGTAGCAGCGGACATTAAGGCAGATGGAAAATTGTTATTGTCTGCCTGCCTGAAAGCACTTCTTCTGTTCCCAAACAACTGTGATTTCTGATTTGGCTCCCCCGCTACGTGGCCTTGAAGGGCTGTGGATCTAATATCTCCTGGTGTTTATGTTGACTTGACTTGGTTCTCCCCMCCTCTTCTTGGTGCATAGAGCACATTTATTGTGTAGCATGAAAGACCTCTCTTCAAACACGACCTCTTGACCCTACAGGTCATGTCTTCTAATTGAACTCTGTTTTTCAAAAGCTTTCTTAGAGTCAAACTTTGACCTAACTTTGCACAAATCTGTCTTTGTCACACAGATCAAGCTGGCACGACAATCTATTTGAATTTTTTAAGACTAATTCCACAAAAAAATGAAAAGAATCATTACCTATTGTAACATATTTTTTCTTTTAAAAAAGGTATTGCTTCAGTGTCATAATGATCACACTATTTGAATCTGAAAAATATGAATTGTCACTGGGGAGATACTGGTGGTCTCGTTTTCTTTTTCTATAGCAAGCGAACAACTGTGCTTGAAACAAAAATATTTTTCCCAAGTGAAATACTTTGCATCAGTAGCAATTTGATCCTGAGAAGTAAAGCTTTTATTTTGGCTAGTCATAACAACTGCTGTAAGCAGCTGGTTTGGCAAAAAAAGGGTTAAACATCAACCTTTGCTTAAAACTTTACTTCAAMATCAATTTTTATCTTAAACTTAGACCTAATAACATCTGGGCTACATTACTTTTATCTTTAAACTGTGATCCAAGCCTTTATTACCTTTGTCTTTTATGTTATTAATTTTTACCATTTTTTCTCATTATTCAATTAAGTTTGTTTGTTCTATTTTTGCCATAAATTTCCAAAGGACAAAGTTTTATTCTTCATCAATGAGTATTCATTGCTTATGAAAATGATGGATATTAGTTTTGGCCAAAATTTTGGATAGTGATAGATGACAGTGATCTAATTGTAAAGTCGAATTGTAAATGTAAAACGAATGCCACATGGCAAGTCCTTTCATAGTTTCTCCAGAAACTATTCTAGTTTATTTATTATGTTTTTGTTATATTTTCCATAGAAAGTACACTTGGCCTGGCTCTTTCGTATTAGTCTGCATCACTTTAATCATCAAACTATAGTTTGCCTGTAATTCTGATTAAAAAATATTTTAACTAGGTTCTGTTCTTACCTGAAGGACACGTGTAGGTCCATCTGGGAGCACTTGGACTGACAGAACCCCCGATCCAGGTCTCATTTTCTGGTTGATGAACTGCTGCGCAGGGCTAGGCTTTAACAGACCTGAATCTGGCCCAAGTACCACCTCTGCTCCATCACACAAGCCAGCAATGCCTCCTTTCACCTGAGGGGTACAGGTTCAGGTTGTTCACTAAACTTTTACTATGGACAGTTGAAACAGCAATCAATGCAAGGCAAATCAAAGTGATTAATAAGCTCTTTTAAAAACAGGTGTTGACCAAAGTGCAAGAAGTAAATAAAAAAGAAAAAGATTAAAACCAAACCAATGCAAATATTACCTTTGCATATACAGTAT